GTTTACATTCAATTTCTTTACACAGCCATTTTCTTTACTTTTTCACTTTTTCGTCTTGTTCTTCTTTCTCCCTAGTACTTCTGATGAATGCCATTTCGTTATCTTTTTTTCTAAAACAGAGTTTATTATTTCTTTTGGGTCGCCTCTTGAAACTTCATTAGCTTCCAGAGTCTTTTTTCCTTCGGATACCTATTGCTTAACCAGATGCTCTCTCACTTCCTCCCGAGAATCGTCATAAACCTCAGCAGAACTCTGAATATGTTGAACCTGTTCTTGATTTTTCTCCATATTTTGGCTTACACTTTGACACCTTTCAATCAAATTATTGCAAGCATCTTTTACCGCTTGTGTAATTTCTTTCAACAAAAAGTTCCGAAACTGTTCACAAGTAAGGCTACCAACTAGTGTATCCGGTTCTAGCTCTTCATTGTCACCCTCAGACTCCATTTTACAATGCTGACACAGAAAGACTTTCAGTTCTTAACATTCATTTTACATACATTATTCTTTATTGCCAGTCATCTAGTCTCCGGATTAAGACTTCCATCCAACAGTAGCAGTTCAAACAGGACAAAAAACGTTTTTCTTACCCCTCCATTCTAGCACAAACCTCTTCTCCAGAACTTTTCAAAGCCGCTTTCTTATAGTAGGAGATGTCTCTTGGGGGTATTAAAATCCATATCAACTCGATTATAACTTGATTTTACACAGTCTTTTATTTTCATTGCAATGTGCTGCTGAATCTTGTTAAATTAAATAAAATAAAAACGGGTGGTCGCTGTAAAGAAAAAAACATGGCAGCCATGTTTTTTCCGCATCTTCATTGTTGCATTGGGGCAAGATGGCAACACCCCCCCGATTGCCATCAGCTGGGGTGGCCAAAAAAGCTCCTTGCCACTCCACCTTCCTCCAGGAAGCAGAGTGGAGCCCTCCCGATAGTCAGGGGGCTCCAAAAGAGCGAAGCGGGGACGGGCGTCTTGGGAGTGATCTGAGACGCGACCGTTTGCAGCACCATATCCCGGGAGTCACCTGTCATTTTCTGTGATTCTCAACATAGTGGTAGGGGCTCAGACAGGCCAAGATTGCAAGTCATGCTTTCTCTGTAAAATGCAGATAACAGGTTTGAGCAGCTGGATCCTTTAGCCCAGCTGATGTTCTTTTATTGTTGTTAAAAATGAGGGGCTATGACCATTCCCATGCTGAAAGCAAGTCTTAGCTAATTTAGTGTTTGTCCCTAAATGCCAAAATACTCTGTGAAAGTAATACCATTGGATCCCCTGGGATGGGTAAGTCCCCACCATAGATTAGTTTTCTGTGAGTTTTATTTCGAGATGGCTCTGGCAATGTCTGTACTTCTGCCAGTTTTCACTGTCCCTTTTTAGCCTTCCAGTAGTAGGAGGCATTCTTGAGATCTTTCTTATGCCTTAACTAATTTACTGTACAGTACTCATGATCAGTGATAACAAGTAGTGAAATGAGTGGATAATTTCTACCTTTCATTATATACTTAGGAATGAAATGCAGATTCCAATCTGCATTAGCGATTTTGACTATTAAACTGGGAATGTTCTCCTAGATTAACTGTTAAATGGTGTATGATTGTATAATCCCGTGTATGTGGCAAGAGTTTATTCTGGTTCTGCTTTTACTTTGAACACTGTTGGTTAAAGTCGAGCCCATAAAAATTAAAAAGAACTGAAGGAAGTTGTTGCAACCCCTGTAAGTACCCAGGCAGAAGATAACTAAATTGTTTCCAGCTGCTATGCACACTGGAAGGCAGAGCTGATCCTGAATTTTACTCACATTCAGATGACCTCTTCTGAACAGTATATACCAATGGGAAGTATTCGCATGAGAGTCACATGAGAGGCTGCAGGTAGCCACATTGCTCTAAAGCAAAATCCAAACATAATAATACTTTTTATTAAGGCGATCCCAAATAGCACATAACAGTGTGCAAGATTTCAAGTTCTCCAAAACTTTGCATTCATCCACAGGTGGTTTTGGAAAGAAGCATCAGGACAGCAGTGTGATGGGTCAAGTCTGCTGTCACATTTAGCTATAGATGGTATTTTTGTTGGCTTATATTCTTAGAGAACTGTGGCTACTCAAAGGCAGTAGTTTATGAGAGATCTGACATCATTGATCTCCATCTGATCATGTGTCTAGTGTTACAGAGCAGTCTAACATTGCTATCCTAGAGTGCTCATTACTTTGGGGATACTTAAATCATAGCAGATAATCTTTTTAGATCTTACATGATTCTAAGCTGCTTAAAATGTTTTTATACAACAAAGAGACCGCAAAACTAGTGTGGTGGCAATAAAAATTGAGACAGCTCTGATCAACAGCACTAGTCTAGAATTTAATAAACATTCTAAAATGAACATCAGTACCAAAGTGAATTATGTATCAGCTCTGTACTTTTCTGTGTTGTTTAATGTTTAATAGTTTATCACTAAAAAGTATGATCTGACCATTTTGCCAGGTGACTTAAATTACTGAATGCATGTTTGTTCTGAGGGTTTTTTCTTTAAAACTATCATTACAGTAGGGCAAGCTGTGTTTCTCCTAGCAGACAAGACTGTGTGTTAACTTTGCTTCATCTTATGTGCTAAGGTTCCTGTCCATGTTGGAGGAAGAGGTGTATAGTCAAAGTTCTCCTATCTGGGATCCAGATTTCATGGCATCCTCTTCTCGAACTGCCCAGCTAGGCATCCAGACAGGTAACTGCTGTTTGCGGTAGGGCAGGGGGTACCCATGGAAATAAAATAAGTACCTGTGCTTAAATCCAATAGAATGTCCTTTATAGGTGCAATTTCAGTTATTCTCTATATTGCTTTACTTTGTTCAGATAAAATGGTGCTTTTTGTGCATTGGTTTTTGTTGAGTAACACACAGAAAGTCAATGAGTTGCTAAACCTAAATCTACATATACAGTCTAAAATGTTGTGTAGAAGTGTTGCCATTTGAGATCTATTGTCTTAAACATGCTTTCTTTTTACTAATTGTAGTTATTAGCCGTCCTCCAGTGGTAAGGTCCTTCTCATACAATGCAAGTCCCTCATCTCTCGAGCAGCCCAGTAGTGGGAGTTTGAGCCCTGCATGCAAGGCTGTTTCTGGCTTGGACCCAAACCTGGGTACGTAATGAGTAACGGACCATCTTTTGATTATCTTAGCCCCAGTGAGCAAAATCCCTAGGGAGTTGTTCCTGTGTAAGCTCTCTTGGAATGGAATGAGAGTTGAGGAAGAGTGGAGCTGTGGTTGGTGTCTTTCCTATTGCTGGATTCTTTTATGACAAGACAAGAGAGCCAGTTTGGTGTAGTGGTTAAGTGCGCAGAATCTAATCTGGGAGAACCGGGTTTGATTCCCCACTCCTCCACTTGCACCTGGCTGGATGACCTTGGGCAAGCCATAATTCTGGCACAGCTGTTCTTGAAAAAGAGCAGTTTCTGTCAGAGTTCTCTCAGCCCCACCTACCTTACAGGGTGTCTCTTGTGGGGAGGGGAAGGGAAAGGAGTTTGTAAGCCGCTCTGAGACTCCTTTGGGTAGTGAAGGGGGGGGTATAAATCCAATCTCCTCCTCCTCCTCCTCCTCTTCCTCTTCCTCTTCTTCTTCTTGTACCTGGCAACTTGCCCACAATGCAGCAGTGCGAATGGGATTGTCCTTTAGGGGATTTGCAGAGGCACCTCCCACTGTCAGTTCTTTTATCAGGTCCAGGATCTTGGTGTGATACTGGAGGTTATTAATTAACTAGTGCTTTTTAAAGTAATAGTACAGAAGCTGAGATGACCTAGGTGGCCTTCCAATGCCAGATAAAGATGCTTTTATTTTGTAAGTCCTTTTAAAATCAACCTCTCACCCTGGTTTTAAATACTGTGTTAATGCTTTGAATTCAGTCACCATTATTATAATTTTGTATTACTTTGCAGTCTGTTTTGAGTACTTTTCAAAGTAGAAAGGCACCCTATATAGGGCTTAAACAATAACAATATACTACACTTTGGTGCAATGACAGTCATCCATTAGCTCTATTAAAATTATTTAGAGGACTTAATTTGAGTCAGCCACTTATCCCTGGAACCCATTTAATCACCAGAGGCTCATTCATATGCAGTGCAACCCTAAAAAACACTTTTCTGGGTGTAAGACCCATTGAATAGATCTGGATTCTTGAGACTCATCCAGAAACTCCAACTGGTCCAGAATGTGGCGGCATGGGTCCTGACTGGAACATCACAGACAACCTGTGCTATGTCAGCTGCACTGGATTCTAGTAGAGTACTGAGTCTGGTTCAAGGTTTTGGTATTGACCGTTAAGGTCTTGAGCAATCAGGGACTCACATATCTTCAGGACCATCTCCTCTGGTATGTTCCCCAAAGAGCATTACACTCTGCAGAGAACAATCTACTGTTGATCCCCAGGCCAAAAGAAGTCCAGCTGTTCTCAACCAGAGCCAGGGCCTTTTCTGTTGTGGCTCCTACCTAGTGGAACTCCCTGCCAAATAACGTCCATGCCCTGCTGGACCTAATGCAGTTCTGCAGGGCTTGCAAGGCAGAGGTTTTTTGGTTGAGGACAGTGACCAATACCATCCTACTGGCACTAACTCCTCCTCTCCTCCCCTTCTTTTTTCTTCCTGCCCTTTTCCACCTTCTTGTGGGGCAGTGATAAAACTTGGAATCTGACATTTTAATGCCATCTGAGAATGTTTTTATCTATGGATTATTTAAATTGTTTTATTATTTATGAATGTTTTTATCATTACATCATTCACCACCTTAAGTCATGTGTATTCAGGGGTAGGGTAGTCTATACATTGAAATAATAAATAAATTAATAAATAAATGTGACTGAGTTACATCCTGTTATCAGCAGTGAGCTGTAATAGAAACCCTTATGCATAAAAGGCCATAAGTCTGACTTTTCTTGGCACAGACACAAGGTCACCTAAAGGAAGAATGGAGCTTAGAATGGAAGTCTGTCATCCCTGCAGTTCCCTTAAGGCATAGTGTGCCCACCCTGCACGTCCTTTAAGGGTGCTCAGACATGCATGCCTGGGGATGTTCAGGTGTAGCTGCAGTGCTGCTCTGTGCTTTTGCTACTCTAAAACGCCCATTCTGAGCTGAGCTTTTTCCCCTGTTTCATGCCAATATTCCACCTCCTTCCCTCCCTCTAAGTGGTTAATGAAGCAAGTCAAAATATAGTTATTTTTAGTTTATCCTGGACCTCTAAAGTGCCAAGCTGTCTCCCTGCAGCTTTCATACCATATGTGCAAAATGTTCTACAGCGGAAGCTTGGCTGCCAGATTTGTTGATGCATGAGCCAGAAGGCACATCTATCTTTTCTGCTCTTAATAGTCTTGTTTTTGTCATTGTAAGCATGTAGTGAATTGACATGCTGACTCAGAGTGAAATTTTCAGCCTCATTTCAACTCAAAACAACGATAGAAACAGTGATAAGGAAGTAGCTCGTTTTACCACTGTGAGAAGGGCTTGGTGCTTCTGCCCAGTCCCAGCTGAAATGAAGGTATTGCCACAGAAGCACACCAAGATAGTATGTAGCTCATTCGTGAAGGTATGAGACTGTGCAAACCTTTCCTGACGCTTGAAAGAAGCTAATGAAGGAAATACAAAATGAGACCCAAGAAGTGATGTCATTTCTAAAATGAATGTTTGCACAGTAAATTTTTATAAGTAGGAGGGTTATCAACAGAATGCCCCAGAGTCTAGCTTAGTATCATTTACATGCAACAAATTCTTTCAGTCACCCAAGTTCTTTAAGATCTCTTTCAAATACCGTAGACTGTAGAAATGACGCCACTGTCTATTCGTTCCAGCCAGGTCCTTCAAAGTGAAAGAGTCATACACAACTTTGCTTTTCAATTAATAGTAAACTTGTATGTTCACAGGCCATTGTACTCTGGTAAGAAGGTGGCTGATTTGGTATGAGGTAAAAGTGGGCCTTGGCATCTAGAGATGTCACAAAGACCCTATTGGCTTTTGACTTCATTTCTCTAACAGTACAGAAGGATAAGTAGCTTCTTAATGAACACTTGAACACAAGAAGCTCTCTTATACTGAATCCATCAGATTGGTAGCAGCTTTCCAGGATTTCAGGCAGAGGTCTTTTATATCACCTACTACTTGATCCTTTTAACTGGAGATGCCAGTGATTGAACTTGGGACTGTCTTCATGCTAAGCAGATGCTCTATCACTGAGGCACAACTCCTCTCTACATGGCCTTGGAAGCAAGGTGTAACGCCAATAAGCAACTTTAAAAGAATATAAAATGATTGTGTGCACGCCATAGACAAACCTAGCTGGTACCAATTTGTGAGAAAGTTTTAGAGTGTTTACATGGAAACCTGTTGATCACATATTTGCTGCTGGTGTGAGAAAAAGTTCTGTTAAAAAAATTAAACAACACAAACACCATCCATTCTGGCTTTCAAATGTACTTTCTTTTAATATTTGGGCAACTTTCAGCATTCTCATATCTGACAAAGGGAGCTTTGACTCTCAAAAGTTTATCCCCCCCCCCCCAATCTTATCCATCTCTAAGGTGCTACTGGATTTGAATCTAATTTTTTAAGAATTCTGTTATCGCCGGCCTGTTATCAGCTTGAAAAATACATATTGGTCAGAGGTTTGACACTCACCCATTTGGATAAATTTTTATTTCTCTCACTAATTGTCTATCTGCCAGTTTTCTTTGTTTCCAGTGAGAGAGTGTTATGTGCATCCATGAATATGAGGAATATAGAAAGTGCTTGGAGAAAGATACTTTCCCCCCTGAGATAGCTCTGCATTCATTGTGAAGCCCTTCCTCCAGGATAGTTGTGTCATAAGGAACAGCCCCTTAGATGTGGTCTACCCTAGTGTTGCATTGCAAGATAGCCATTTTCACAGCTGTGAATAATATTGTTTGATGCTACCCAATAACCTTGAATTTCCTGCCTTCTAATAGAATATATATTTTGGTAGTTAGAATGTCTTTGATTATTGAATAATACTCTTGTGTGTTGTGACTTAATTACGCAGGAGAGAAAAGAAAAATTAATGAGCCTTATTCTGGGGAGGATGCTAAGAAGCCGAGAGTTGTAGGAGATATTCCTATTGAACTAATCAATGAAGTGATGTCAACCATTACAGATCCAGCAGCAATGCTTGGGCCAGAGGTGAGAAATGTAGTCTTGGCAGAATAATTCATGTCAACCTTGCACCACAGCACGTTTTTTATTTCTGGTGAAATTAAATGTTTGGTCAGTTTGTCTGTTGAACATAAATAATTCAGTATGATTCTTTTAATACAGCCCACAAAATGACTTTTGATTAATTTTTCACCATTTCTCATCTTACTATGCTGTAGGCAGCTTGTACATTACATCGCAATGAATAAAACATTATGCAATTGTAATGCAAAGTAATTAAACCTCAGCCACCAAGAAATAAGACTCAAACACATCAAGTTGTTTCTTTTTGTAGCATATACAATATTTGACGCAGCATGACAGTTTAGAAATGCTGCATGTTCAGATTCTAGTATTCATTTATTGACTAGGAAAAAGGCCCATTGTGGAAATAAATACAACGTCCTCTAGAACGAGGCTCTGGGTGGGTGCCCCGGCCTTGGACACTCAGTGTCAATTTGCTGTGGCGACCTCACCATTTTCTCCAGAGGAACTGATCTCTGCTACCTAAAGAACAGTTGTAATTTTGAGTGATCTCCAGCCCTCACCTGAAGATTGGCAACGATGGTTCCCCAGAAGGGAATGGTTGGTTTGGAGGGTGGAGTCTATGGCTTTGTACCTGTCCGAGGTCCCATGCCTCCTGAAACCTCACCCTCTCCAGGCTCCATCCCTCACATCTCCAGGAATTTCCCACCTGGAGTTGGCAACCCTATCTCCTTCCCAGCCAATCATCAACCTACCTTTATTTCCCCCTCACTCTTCAGCTTTCCACCCCACACACACCTGCAGCCTCTCCCGTGCTCTGAAGCCCTGACTGCTATGTCACATTGGCTGTCATACAGGGGCCACCTCAGCAGCATATAAGGATACAGAGCCCACCATTTTCTCCAGGTGAACTGATCTCTGCCATCTGGAAAGCAGTTGTAATTCTGAGTGATCCCCAGCCCTCACCTGGAGATTGGACACGTTACCTCAGAACAGCAAACTGTTTAGAATGTTAGAGGCAAAAGCCAACCAAGTCGCATATGCAAACGACCTCTGTGTTCCGAGGCAAAGTTCAATGAGGCTGCATATGCAAATAACCTCTGTGTTCTGAGTGGCTATGGGGGGGGGGAGAGGAACAGCAAAAACTGTTTAGAATGTTGGAGGCAAGACTCAAGCAATGCAGCCA